TGAGTCAATACTGAAGCAAGTTTGCTTGTAAATCTTCAGTTAACTTTAGTACACAGAAAAAGGCAAGTGAATACTTCACCAGGTGGCCTGGTTTTGCTGGTTGTTTGCATGTCTTAAGTTCTGAAGTGGAAGTTACACTAACAAAAAAATCCCTCATTTTGTCCAATCATGGAAAACTTCAATCTCACACAAGGTCTCTGAACCAGCACTTCCAATCACTATAGCTTCCTGTAGCTTAATAAATGCAAAATTTTGCTTGGTAGCAGGCCACCTATGGTCTATTTTTAGATTCAGTGCTCAAAGGTGATACCAAATGAGGCCTAGGAAGAGATGAGGAGGGCCAGAAGCCAGGAGCTCCCAACTCCACTGACAGCTAAGTTTGACCATTACCACCTATTATTATAGGTAACTTGCATCCTAACTAAGAGCAAAGGAATGCATGAAAATGCCTCTCAAAGTAAAGGGTATTTGGATTGGGGCAGATATCCCCTGTAAAGATCACAAACTATTTAAGGACTCAGAATTATGACCAGATTAGTGACCTTATGCATGGATTAGCGCACATTGAAAGGAAATTAATTAGAAGCTGGCCAGCGGGCAGGACTGAGCGAGTTGGTCGGACACACCTTGGAGCCAACCTCCCACAGACCCTCCCTGGCATTTGTGGGATGAGTGGGGTCTCTCTGGTAGGTGGAATTCCTCGACCTGGCCTGCAGGGATTGGGCCAAAACTGGCACTCTGACATCCCTCGAGGGGTCTTAGAGTATGAGAGGGCACTCTGCAAAGTTTCTGTTGTACAGGGTGTGGAACGCAAACACAGTGTGCAGTAAACTAGATTCAGGACCAACAGTGCCCCAGCAACAACATGACCCACGGCTGAAGGTAGAATCACGTGGCCCTGTGAGGAATTGGGCTCCCTCCTCTCTGGGTTCAGGGTGCATCACCTGAGAACCACTGCTGCCAAGTCACTGCAGCTCCTGCATTGAGCCTCTGCCCTCTGGTGGTCAGTGAGCATCATAGCGACTGATCATATGGTTGGACATAGCACATTAGCCATTTATATATATAGATTATAGTGAGGAAATAGAAAAGGCAAGGAAACATTTAAATAACTATTAATTCCCTTGTGAGGCTGCTCCAACTTCAAAGGTGTTTGATTCCAGGATAGGAAAGCAGTGTGGACCCATTCCAAATAAGATAGTAATTACAGAGCAAAAATGGCAAAGGTCTCAGATGTACTGAGAGGCCTAATCTCAGATAAATGTGAACTCAGATAAATGAGTTCTGTATTTTTTTATTAAAAAGGAAAAACAATCAGATCTAAGAGTCTCTGAAATTCCTTTCTGTCCCAATGCTAAATTCTGCCTTTTATTACATTAAGATAAATATTTGTCCTATTTCAAATATAACCTTCTGCAGTTACTACAATGAATATGACTTGGTGAAGCTGACTCTATTGTAATCATTTGACTCAGTATTTATTAGCTTGTAAAGCTCTTTGTATAGAAAGTAAAAAATGTAAGTGAACCAATTACTTATTGGGCACTCTTCATGTGCCAAGAGTGGTGTTATCTCATTTGAATTTAAAAAACAATGCTTTGGCCAGGTGGCTCCCTTGGTTAAAGAGTTGTCTCCCACACCAAAAGGTTGGAGGTTTGAGTCCCAGTCAGGGCACATACCTAGGTTGTGGGTTCAATCCCTGTTTGGGGCACATACAGAAAGCAACTGATCAATGTTTCTCTCTCACATTGATGTTTCTCTCCCCCCCCCCTTCCTCTATCTCTAAAATTAATAAACATACCCACAGGTGAGGATAAAAACAAAATACCCAATTATCTATGAAATGTATAGCTCCATTTTACAGATGAGGAAACTGGGGTTCACAGAAGATAAGTTTAAAAGGCATGACATCGATTGGGCCCTCAAAATGCATGAAATCGAACTCTTTTGACACCAACTCTTATCCACACCAGTTTTCAAACATCTGATAATAGGAACCTCCGTGTTTTGTCTCCTAGCAGTGTGGCTCTCATTCAAAAGCCTATGAAGCCACTGTAATGTTCAATAACATGGACTTGGCACTATTGAAATTGACATTTATTCCCATTGCCACCAATCAAAACTCCACTTCCCTCCAGCAGTGGCTGCAACTTGAAAACTCCTTCATAGGTTCTGCTTCTTTCCTGTGATGGTGACTCAGTTCATTGAACAGATAAATCATCATATGAGGAAAGGAAGTAAGTCCCAAACAGAATTCATGGGGTTGAGGTCAGGAGCTGCATGTGGCTCTAGTTTGCAACTGAGATTCTAATGCATTTCAATTTGATTTTTAATGGCTTTCTATTCTACTTCTACCTTCTGAATAAAAAATGTCCTCTGCCAAGTAACAATTTTACTTTACCTTCAGTTCCTCCTGCAACAATGGAAATAGCATTTCTTTATAAAATATAGTTAAATCTCAGGGCAACCAAGCACTTTGGAACAACTATAGAAGCTCATATATCTAGGACATTGACAGAAACTATACTATGAATTATTTTTTTAAATCCAGTTACCTAACCATTAATTAGGGTTTTGTGAAATGGTCCCTAAACTATTGCTTTGTCTAGTAAGGCTCAGTCAGCAGCCTGAAGAATAGAACTATAAATGCCTCTTTAAAATATATATATATAAATAAATTTAGACTAGAGCAAAGAAGAAAAGAATGAGACCAGCTAAGTAAATATGCATGGCTCAAAACAGTCACTAGTACCCTAAAGATAGAATATAATATAAAAATGTAAACTAAGAGTATTTCTCTTAAGTTTAAGTATTAAAAATAAAGCATTACTGAGTTGAACAAACAGGATCATAACAAATTATGACCAACTTTCCAATGTCAGGAGTTAAGGATCAAATTGAATAGGGAATTTCAGTTTCTAGCCAAGAAGCAGTGCCTGGATTTAACCTCTCACCTTAAGTGACTAGAAAATAAACAACATATGTGAGTCATCGGTTCTCAGACACTGCACAACAGATAGCACAGGACAGTGATCCCCGAGAGAAGGGAAATGAATGAGGTGGGCTTATACATGCATCAGTTTATTGGCTGGAAGGCAATTTCCAGATCAGAGCTCGGGGAAGTAGAACCCAAAGGAGCCCAGAGGTCTTGCTGAGTTGAGGGGACAGAGATCAGACCTCGGGGAGGCCAAAGCACCTAGAATCGCTGGGACACCAAACTACAGACAGATCTCCAGAGATCTGGGGAAGGGGCTTTGGCTACCTCCTGACCTACCTGTTGTGAAGAGACTGCCCACACCCAGGGAAAGCACTATAAGCAAAGAGTAGCCTGGATGGAGAAATAACATCGGTCTTTGTTTCAGACTCGCCTGCTGAACTGACATGGGATCATTCCCCATTATAACTGGAGACCCCACTACTGAATACAGTCACACAGGACTCAAGATCACGTCCAACATATCCCTGAGTCCAGGCATAAGTGGCTGTGTCACCTCATAGGGTGTCTTCTCATTTATACACTCTGGGAGGCTTCACCGTTAGCAGGGAAGGGGAAGAGAGGGAATCAGCTTCTGTATCACATTTTTGGGTCAGACATGGACACACTGGGGCTCCTAGGACCAAGTGTACACTTTACTTAATGCACATAGCTCAAAGCTAAAGAAAAGAAGCTTTACTGTCGTAAAACTCCTGCAGTAACTCTAACTGTTGTTAGCTTTCCAAAGGAGAGGACCATTTGCCCTTCTCATAGCCTCAGCTTCTTGGCTACGCCTGGAAGGCCTTGGATCATTCCTGACCTTGGCTTTGTATGGTCCCATAGCAACCACCACAAACCCTGGTTAAATATCTGTCTGGACTCACACTGTCTTCTGGAAGGAACATTCCCTGAACCCAAACTTACCCAATCAATACTTTTAAGCACATCTAATTCAGAGCAGGACAAAGAAATAGAGTAACTTTACTCTATTCCATCTGTCTCATTGTTCCTTAAATTGAATTTTTTTTTTTTTTTTTTTTTTTTTTTTTTTAGTTTCAGAGATTGTGGACATGGAAGATAAAAAAACTGGACTTAACCCACCGGCACAATCTTTCTGTCTCTCTGTCAAAATGCAAGCCCTGCCTTCATTTCATCCTAGCCAATATCTACACCCTTATCTCGTTTGTCAACCAATCCCTGTTCTTCCTCATACTTTCCCACTTCATTCTCTTTGTTTCTCACATTCTTTTTCTCTCCTCATTCCCACTCAGCTCTAGACTCACAGTGATACACTCACCGAATGTGCTCATAAAAATGACCAGCCCACGCATACTGGTCAAGAGCATGGGGTCTAGGGCCCATTAACATGGATTTAAATTCTGGTTCTGCCACTAACTGGCTGTGTGACCTTTTGCAAGCATATTAACTTCTCTGCATCTCAGTTACTTGTGAAAGTGGAACGTTGATAGTATGTGCCTTGTAGAGTTGCTATGAGGATTAATGAGGCTCTCGGCACAGAGCCTGGCACATGGTGGGCTCTTGATAAATATGAGTCGTTGTTATTATTAGCAATGTCTCCTTTCACTTGGGGTTTTTGCTTAGTGGACTACAAAGTCATTGATGAAAGGAGATTCTGATATTTTCATTTTTTTCAGAGAGGAAAAAAGAAACAGGGTAGATTTCAGGCTCGTGAATTAAAAGGGAAGAAACCCATGGAGGAAAGAAAAAGCCATGAGACCCAATGCCCTGTTTCTTCTTTCGCACTTTTGTTCTCCTCTCCTCGGAAACTCAGAGAGGGAAAGCTTTAGCACCCTCAGGTCCTCAGGCTCATAATACGGCCTCACTTCTGGCCGAGCAATACTGTGTTCAGAATCACTGCTGACCAAAATCCAGCAGATCCTTCTAAGCCATGTCATAATGCAGCAAAGCATCAGAAGCAGAAAAAAGTCATGCAACTCATTTTTTAACAGCTTGTGGAAGCTGTGAAAAGGCTTGCTGCACAGAGGAAGAAATAGCCTCTACTCACCTACAGGAGTCCACTTGGCTGATTAAGGCTTGTCCCTTTTGCAAAGCATCAGCAGAGCAGCCTTTAATTTCTCCGTGTAATTCCTCGTGCCGGGCTGCCAGGACAGGCAGGCTTAAACCCTCTGACTTAAGGAGCTTAAGGTAAGCCTCAACTCTTCCAAGTACATCAAACGCCTGCCAAAGAAAGCACACTTTCATTTTCTGCTTTTCTAGTTTAAAAATCTACATTGATGTATACGTGAAATACTAGCGAATAAGCCAGCCTGTTTAATTTATTAGTTTTATCAAAACCAAAAACAGCAAGGTTAGTCTTGGAAAAAAGCTATATAGTTTTAAGGTTCCATTTAGAGAAACTGATCACAGCTTAGTTCAGCATACATAAGTGCCAACACCTTAAAATCTCCAAAATAGTTTACCTTGAGAACGTACCTAGACAATAGTTATAACTGTGTAGAATTTAGAAGGCCGGGTTTGTTATTTGCACATTCTGAACTGCATACAAATAATGGATGAAATATTTTTAAAATGTTATGCAGACTTTCATAACCTGAATGTCTCTGTAATATCCTTAAAAGAAAATGTCCCAATAAATGGCACTTTCAGACTGAAACACTGCAGGGAAATAGCTACTAAGGCGCTTTTGCCCTTGGTTATCCAAGTAGAAGACCTTCTGCCTACTCCATCCACAGACATCCATCTCTCTAAGAGAAGATTAGCATTTGGATCTGAAGCAGTACAAAGATTAAGAGCAAGGTAATATTTAGCTTCCAGCATACACATAGATTGTGCAGAAAAAAACATATTTTTGCAAACTAAGATATTCTCTTGCGAGAAGATTTTTTAATTTTTTGACTTTCTTCCTTTATTTGCAGATCAGCAAACAAGCATGGGGGATTCAGTTTATAGAATTAACAGAGAGCAATGTTTTGGGGCATTATGAAAGCGGAGTATATGGTAACAAGAAAATAAAAGAGGACTGTGATTATATGTGAGAGAGAGAGAGAGAGAGAGAGAGAGAGAGAGCGCGCGAGCGAGCGCAGAGTACAGTGGTCTGTATGGTTCTCCTCATAGCCCATTTCTGAACTGAAGCCTGGAGAGCAGGATGAGTTTGGTAAGGTGAAGAAAAGCTGAATAGCAAGGGAGCTATTGCTGTGTTGGCCTCCGGCACTACTGAGAAAGCCACCTTTCAAGATGCTTCATACCAGTCTGGAAAACCTAGGCAGTTTGGCAGTGCCACTGACTGACAGCTGGGGCGCTGAAGTCCACCCTCCCTGGGTTGCTGAGCTGGAAGCCTGTGAGCTCAGCAGGGGCCTACCAGGTGGAGTAGGAGGACCCCACAGGAACAAGGAGAGCAGAGGGCCTTGTGAGTCTAGCACCATGGAGAGTTGAGAGAGACCAGAGGAGCCAGCTGGGCTGATGGGGAGGGACTCAGTTGAAGCCAAATGAAGGTGGCACCGTTGTTAAGCACCCATGCCTGCCCTGGCCACCACCTTGGGAGTGAGTTTTAATGGCAGAATTGGAACTGGAAAAAATTGAATTTACAAATGAAATATCTCAAGTGCTGTCGTATTACATATATGTTGATATTCTGTTCTCTTACCAATGTGTTCCTGTCTTATGAATCTGATCTTTCTTTTTATTACTTAAAATGCTTAAAAATGAAATAATTTCTGCTAGCCAGTATTGCTCTGTGGTTAAGCATTAACCCATGAACAGGAGGTCAGGGGTCATTTCTGGTCAGGGCCATGCCCTGGTTGTAGCCTCAAGCGCCTGTAGGGGGCATGCAGGAGGCAGCAAATCAATGATTCTCTCTCATCATTGATGTTTTTTCTCTCTCCCTCTCTCTGAAATCAATAGAAATTATTTTTAAAACAAAAAAAATAATTCCCATTTACTTAATAGCTGATAGCAAGTAATAATAATAATTACAGTTTAATGAGAATTATGTGTTCTTTTTATAAGGTTTGTTTCACAATTATTTTCCATCGCTTGACAAATAGTTTTTAAAGTCTGCTAGTTTCAAGCACATTGTCCTTCACAGCCTAGGGAGGGAGCTGGAAATTATCCCCATTATCCAACTGGGGAAACTCAGCCCGGAGAGGTCAAATAAATCGCACCAACTGACGCTTCGACTAAGTGGCAGATCGGTATTTGCACTCAATTTGTCTGGCCCTGAGGGCCAGCACTAAAACCAAGGGCTGTGGCAGCACATGGCAAAGACTTACTATGGGAGGCTAAGAAAGAAGGGACATTTCCAAGAAGCCTGTTAATCTTAGGTTTAAAAGGTAGGATTTTTAAACTTATACTGTATAATTGTCTATCTTTCCTTCTTACCTGTGAGGAAAGATACAGAGAAAGGTTGAGTGATGTCTCTTAGCTATACAAGACTTTATCGAAAAGAGAAATTGTTTTTAACTAAAGAAACTTTGAACCTGAAGAACTTTTCCTCATCTAACCCATTTTCCCCCTGCAGGTGGCAACAGAGCCAAGATGCCAATAGAAAAGATGATGCGAATTACCCTCTTGATGGTTTCGTAACACATGGAAACACCACCTGGCAAAAACCACTGTTTCTGGAATGTTGTTTTATATTTTAAATTTTTATTGCTTAGTATGAATAAAGCAGAGTCTCTTATTAATCAAGGGTTTTAAAGTTGGTGCCTAAAGCAAAAACCTGTTGGATTCAACATGACCATGAATTCCCTTAAACCACACTTAAAAGTTGAGTATATGTAAGCTAGTGCTCACAGTAATACATGGTCACATTTAGGACTGAGGGCCACTGAGCTACACAAAAGGAAGGAATAAAGGGAAAGTCTGTTGTATGCAATTATCACAGCATTCCCTTTTGTCTTCCTTAAGATAATTCTCAACTTCCTAAGGTGAATGGAAAAGGACAGAGAATCCCAAAGTGATTTTCCTTGCCTGCAAGCTTACCTCCCCTCTGTTTTAGTATTAAGCTGTTATGAACGTAATTAGGGTGTGATGGTGCACGTGTAGTAAGTACTCAGAAAATATTTGCTGGCTGTTACTCTAAATCTTGAGTGATGGCTCACATCTTTCAAAAACCACAGAGAAATGCATGGCCATCCACCTCGGTCTCTCCTCTGTGGCCCATGGAACAGCTGCTACTCTCACGTCATGGGTCAGGCACTGGCCTCACCTTCACAGGAGCTAAATTCCGAAGCCACATGCACATTAAATGTACGTGTGATTGTGACTCCACCTCATTTCTGAATGCTATTTTGAAAGTACTGCTTCCTAACAGCACGGAAATAACTGGAATGGCTACACATTCACTGGAAGGAGAAGGTGCTATATCAAATGCCAAGACAGTCCATAACTTAGAAAGAAAATAGCCACATTTTCCTCCAGAGTTTCTCTCTCAAGAAAGACCAAGTGTCAAAAGCAAATACTTATGAATTACTCTGTATATTACACTTATGGGAATGATGGCAATAGAACGGAGGTGAGGGAATTCATTCCTTCTTTAGCTCAACAAATACACATATTTGCAAAATACTTCCTATGGGTACCTAGATTCTACAAGAGAGCTGATTCCTTATCCTCGATCCTCACCTAACCCTAATGGGAATAATCTATGAACACAGAATTAAACTTCTTCATGTGAAGAGGAAGCCTCCTTCGAGAGGATTATACTGCCTGTGATTGTCACATGCAGAGCTCTCTTCTCATATTCCCATGTAGAATTTGGTGAGGAATCCATGTACCAATTCCAGAAATGATCTAAGTATCATTGCTCTCACTTAATCTGCTCCCAAAATAGAACTGAGTACTTTCCTGTTCACCAAACCCGTGAGGAACCTGATACACTGGACCCAGCCTGCAAAGCATCTCTTTGTTGCACACACAGTACCGAACAGCTTCTTACTGGATAGAACACTGTGACCCCCACGAACACTCCTTTGCCATTAATGCTTCATCTTTAGTTTTTCTCTTCACACCCCTCTCTTCCTGCAAACCTTGCATGTGCCAATCAAATAAAAGTTTGATGACTGGTTTGGAAAAGAAAGGATAAACACACAAGTATAACATTTCCTCCTGCTAGGGCCCAGCTCTTCTTGACTACTTTGTGCGGCACCAGTCAGTTCTTAGGCAGATAAAAAGGAAGTGAGCAAGCTCTTTTTGGCCCTGGTTTAGAAAAACGAAACTAAGAAGCTGATTGGTTTCTGTTCCTTAAGATGCTAATAAAGATCTTTCTTTTTTCCGTTGTTAATATTCAAAGCAGGCTGGCCCAAATCAAATAGTGATGGTATCGGGACATGGCCCATTTGTGTGTGTTTTTAAATATCTAGGAGATGAGTAAATTAAGCAAATCACTTAGCATATTTCTTATATCATGCTGTTTCACAAAGGTGTTTAAATAAGTAACACTGTTTGCTTCTTGACTAATTTGAAAAGAATCAATATAGAATCATGCACACACACACACACACACACACACACACACACACACAAACAATAACAACAACAAAAACATTACATTGCAAAAACTTGAAAATTTCTTTCCATGAGTCCAAAGGCCAGAAAATGAGTTTTGTTGGAACCTTTATAATTGTTAAGGATACAAATTCAACTCTGCTTTTAATTAGAGCATGGGGTCAGATTTTATAAAGACAAAAAGGTTCAGTGTTTTTCCTCAAGACCACCCAGGGTAACTTCTGATGGCTCCCACTATGGCAAGCAGACTCTTATTTCAGGCCTGTTCAAATCCACCCACGCTTTTCAATGCCATGATGGTCAAAGGCAAGGAGGATATGATTTTCAGCTCCCCATTTTTTTTTTCTGTCCCTTACTGGTGCTCCGGCTCCTTCCTTACCTCCCAAGGTTGCTGCTGCTGGGCCCAAGTTCTCAATGTAACAAGATAGATTAGAAATGCTAATGCCAGGTATCCAAAATTAAGAGTACCTAAAGCTGCTTTTGGGTTCACAGTCTGAAAAGCTCAAACAAACAAACAAACAAACAAACAAAAGAACATTGGGAGAGAGAGTCTGGGATTGAAAGTAGCATGTACCTGAAGCGGTTTATTGATAAGGAATGTAGGAAGTTTATGTATGGACCACCCCTTACTTTCTCTAAGATAAAGCCATCTTAGAAATGGGTAAATCCAACCCATAGGTAGAACTTTAGATGGCAAGTCCTTATTTATAATT